CCTCTCCAGCTAGCATAGGTTTCTGCGTTTTGTTCAAAGGAAAAAAACCATGTCATTCTTGTAAATGAATTTTAGAGGAAAAATTAACTAACATTTCTAGGTCTACAATTCAGCCTTTTAATTCGGCAAGAAGGCTGCATGGTTTAAATTCTTCATCCTCCAAAGCAAAGGAAACAGGAAACTGCTTTTACACCAGATGTCATCTAGTGGTACTGTACATCTGGCAACCCACCAACAGCTGTACAGAGGCTAAGCCATGTGAGCTAAGACATTCAGCAGTAGGCTGTGTTGCTTACATGAGGTGTTCAACAAGTTCTCAAACAAGAAAGGAAACACGAAGAAATTTACAATGGTTGAGCTGTAATTCTGCTTGTAACAAGGTACTGGCACATTTGTAGCTTTCAGAGACATGTGTCAGATTCCCACATGTGCTCCAGCCTTTACTTAGGCAACGGTGTCTGCTGGCTGCAGAATGTGCCAGTCATTGTAAAGCTTTGTGATTTTATAGCCAAACTAGCAGACTTACCCAGTGTCGCCCAGGCCCTTGAAGGTAGGGCTTTGGTGATGTGGAGGGGAGGGTGTGCAGGATGCAGTAGACAGAGGGGGGCAATAGTGAGGGTTGTTCCTTCCCCCCAGTCTGCCCTAGCCTACCAGGGGCTGTTCTCTCCCTGCCAAGGCTCTCCCATCTGCCTCCAGGGGGCCTGTTCTCCAACTTCACATGCAAGAATGATAGAAACGTGTCCCTGGTCTCTGTCTGTCAGAGGCTGGAGAGGGATGGCAGGAGACAAATCGCTTGATCATTGTCTTCGGTCCACCCTCTCTGGGGCACCTGGTGCTGGCCACTGTCGGCAGACAGGCTACTGGGCTAGATGGACCTTTGGTCTGACCCAGTACAGCCATTCTCATGTTCTTATGATAAATGCACAAAAATAGTATATAAACATTCAGCAGACTGTCTATTAAAACTGATAGATTATATGAGGCATATATATATGTCTAAAGCATCTTCATAATATGCATATTCATATTCATAAGCCAATATTCATTAAGTTTGGGAGGGGCACGACAGCACTAATTTGTAACTTTCTTAATCTCCGTTTCATTATGGATGTAAGGTCACCTCCCCAGTGCTGCATGGCCAAGAGATGAATCATTCAAAAAAGGAAGGTTGCGAGTCCACTTTTTTGAATAAATAGCAATCAGTGGGATTCAGATCCAAAATCTCACAAAGTTTTTGGCTGTTCAGCGTCACAAAACCACAAGCTCATAGACTCATAGATAGCCATGCAATTCAGATCCTGCTCTGAATGCTCCTTCAAGGTTCAGGATCAGCTGCTTCTGAGTGGACCTATGTGTAACAATAAAAATGAGGAAAAACTTAAAAAACAACAAATAGTCTGGTAGCACTTTAAAGACTAACAAAATATGTAGATGGTATCATGAGCTTTTGTGGTCATGTCCCATTCCTTCAGATGACCAGAGCATTGGATTTGTAACCATGCCTTTGTTGGTCACAACTAATAATACCAAATACAGGAAAAACTACTGAGAAATGGAGCAGATTTAACCCAGAACTTGATTTACACTGCAGTAAGTGATATGAATAATCAAACTCATGCATGGCAGGGAATGTACTTTATAACCCAAAATTGGTGATTACTCTCCCGTAAGATAAATCAAAGCAGCGAAGAAAGTAAACTCTTGTTTAAACATCTAGGATGTGTCTAAACTACATGGCTCCATTGATGGAGCCATGTAGATTAGGCGGATCGGCAGAGGGAAAAGAAGCCGCGATTTAAATAATCGCAGCTTCATTTAAATGTATATGGCTGCCGCGCTGAGCGGACAAACAGCTGATTAGCTGTTTGTCGGCTCAGCGCGGCAGCCATGTAAATTTAAATGAAGCCGCGATCATTTAAATCAAGGCTTCATTTGCCTTTGCCTACAACCCTAATCTACATGGCTCCATCGATGGAGCCATGTAGTCTAGACACAGCCTTAGGTTGGTCATTTAGGCCTGGTCTACATTAAAGGAGAAAGTCAACTTCAGATATGCAACTCCAGCTATGTTAATTATGTAGCAGGAATCAAAATATCTTAAATTGCATTTTGGCACCATTCACACGCAGGAGGTCAACAGCAGCACATGCTCCCTTCGACTTCCCTTACTCCTCGTAGGAGCAGGACTACCGGCACCGATGGGAGTGCCCTCTCAGTTCGAATTAGCAGATCTTCACTACACTCGCTAATTCAAACCCCGGAAGATCGACTGAGGCAGCCACAGTCTTCTCTGTAGTGTAGACAAGCCCTTACTGTGTTAAACTGCCGTGGTAAAAAGGCAAGCTGTTTGAGAGGAGAGTTTCTGAATGAAGCAAAATAGCAAAGGGACACACAAATATATGGCTCGGTGCTCTTAATGAACAGTGCTCTCTGTGAATATAATCTGAATAAATACAATTATCCTTGTTCAAAATTGCATCGTGAAGTGAGCTAGAGTTGTTTCCCTTGTGCCAAGATGGCAGTTGACCTATTTGAGAAGAAACAGCATCTGGACAGTCACAATAAATAGATGTACCAAATGGACAGGATGTGCTCAGTCCTAACTGAGGAGTGGAATTGTCCAAGGCATGTCTACACAGAAGCATTATTTCTGAATAACTGATGTTATTTCGAAATAATGTCAAGCTGGAGGGCTTCTTACTACAACTCCTGTAACTCTCATTTCACGAGGAGTAAGGGAAGCGGAAGGAAGAGTGCTCTTCCTTCGACTTCCTGCTTTATAGACAGTGCGTAAAGCCGAATTAAGCTATTTTGGTTTCAGCTACACAATTGACATAGCTGAAGTTACGTATCTTAATTTGACTTTTGCCCTGCTGTGTAGACGTGCCCCAACAGAGCTTTGCTATTTCAGTCAAACCATGCGCTCTTTAGTTCTTGCAGATATACCTCACAATGAAGTCAGACACCTTCTGCTACTAACAAAGAGATTCTCCTTTGCATCAAAGGGTGGAAGGCTGGGTGTTTGGCTCAAAAGGCATGCGTTCTAATTTTCCTGTCACAGGGAAGTTCCCTGTGAACACTGGGCCAGAACAGAGACAGATATGGTCACAATTTTCAACTTACATGGTTGCTTTGGTTTTACTCATTTGTCTGCAGTCCTCAAACTTTTTGGAAATTTCAAAAATCTGACCATCCCCACACCCCAGCCCAGAATTTGTTTTTTCCGGAAACACACTGAACATTTTCCATGAAAACTGTGCTGTGGTTTTCAACCCGATCTGCTCATAACATCCTGCCCCTGAGCCACGGCGCGTTGATGTGGCCAGAAGTAATGCTGGTGTCTCTGCAGCAGACTAGAGGTCCCTTGAAGTTTAGTTTCATGCCAGTTACAGCAAAGCTCTCTGGCGGGGGATGGTATGACGGCAGCATATGGAACAGAGCTTGAGTGAATGTAACCTGCCATGCCAGACACATAAGAGGCGTGGGAGAAAGGCGGCATTTTAGGAGCCAGTTGCAATTGTTTCAGTGCTCCCTGCTGAGTTTGTTTCTACACATTTCTGTGGAGCCCGTCCCCAGAACAGCAGGTGTTCAATGGGAACCTGTGGTTTCTAGAGAGAATAACTAGCTAAAATATCTGATATTAGGAAATCTGATATTAGAAATGGCAATATACAAAATTATCACAAATCTGATATTAGGAATGGCAACATACAAAAACCTGTAGGGGAACACTTCAATCTTTCTGGACACACAATTGCAGATCTAAAAGTAGCCATCCTGCAGCAAAAAAACTTCAGGACCAGACTTCAAAGAGAAAAACTGCTGAGCTACAGTTCATCTTTAAGTTTGACACAATCAACTCTGGATTAAACAAAGACTGTGAATGGCTCGCTAACTACAAAAGCAGCTTCTGCTCTCTTGGAATTCACACCTCCAGATCAGCTGCTAGAAGTGGGCCTCATCCTCCTTGATTGGATCCACCTGGTCATCTCCAGCCTGATCCTGGCCTGCATATTTATTCCTGCCTCTGGAAATTTCCACTACATGCATCTGATGAAGTGGGTCTTTGCCCACGAAAGCTTATGCTCCTACACTTCAGTTAGTCTATAAGGTGCCACAGGACTCCTCGTCGCTTTTGCAGATTCAGACTAACACGGCTACCCCTCTGATACTTAGCTAAAATAAACACCACTAAAAACATTTGCTAATTGCCTTCTATTTGTACAGGACAAGCTGGTGGTGGCAGCCCAGGGGCAAAATGGAGAACCAGGAACAGCTCTGTTGGCCATGCCCAACCTCATCCCTGCCTGCGTTTCTCCTGTTCCCAAAGCCCCTTTCCACAAGGAAGCCCTGCATGACACACCAGCCCAGATGCAAGGAGCGCAAACTCTCTGCTTCCTACTGCTTGATAGAATCACACCAGTTTCACTGCATTTAGCACCTCCCGTGGTGTTTAGATTGTTTGTTATTTATATTATCAGGGTGCCTAGGAGCCACAGGCATGACTCCCATTGTGCAGGTGCGTACAAACAGAACAAAAGGATGGGCCCTGCCTCAAAGCGCTTTTCAGCCAAGTAAAGACTTTCCTTGGGCTGGAGAGTTTACTAACTCTTAATATTGAAGGAGGCTTTTGTTTACTGTTGGTACAGAATACAAAATCCTAGACGTAGGCTCTGTGTCATTTGCATGTTTGCCTGAAAGCATAACAAAGTTGCATGGATAAAACTTGGCCATACATGCCAAAGAAAGTCAGCTCCAAGGGAGAAAGAAAGGGCAGATCCTGTCCAAGGAGAAAATTGTCGTATCTCAATATGTCCAAGTGCAGAATGTTTACAAAATGCTCATTAAGGGAAAGGGGGTTTGTGAGATAGCAACAGAAAATCTGGTGGACAGCTTACACTGCAAGAGATAAGAGAGGCAAGGCTACCATAGGCGAGCGTGTGTTATATCCAATTACTGAGACCTGGTTTTGGAGGGTGTGTGGGGAGGCGGGAGAGAGAGTGAGGACTGATCACAAGTTTCAGGCAAGGGCTTCCAAACTTGTCAAGTCTGTGACACAAGCTGCGCACAAACCAGGGGATAAAATAGCCACTTAGCGCACACAAGAGCTAAACCTTGGTGAGTGCGGCTGGACGCTAACGCGAAGGAATGGATACTGTTGCCATTCAGTTGTGGGCAACCCTCTCTCTGCTGGTGCACCTTGCTGCTTGCAGCCCCATCATGAGCCTGGAGCAGTCGTCCCTGGAAGAAGATGTGCCCCTCTTTGATGAACTCCTTTCAGAGCAGGAAGGTGTCGATTTCAACACGCTGCTTCAGAACATGAAAAATGAGTTCCTGAAGACGCTGAACCTTTCTGACATTCCCCTGCATGAAAAGTCTAAGGTGGAGCCCCCAGAGTACATGTTAGAGCTGTACAACAGGTTTGCCACTGACAGGACCTCAATGCCATCGGCAAATATTGTTAGAAGCTTCAAAAATGAAGGTAAGATCCATGCTCCTCTGTGAACGAAGAATAACTGGGCATTGCTCAGAACCGACAAGGCACTTCTTCCCAATGTGTGGAGCAAGACGACTTAATTGGGGAGAAAAGGAGTTGACAGTGATTAGATAGAGATGCAACTGGAACTAGGGAACTAGCATGGCCTGTGTCTATAATGAACAGCTCACATTGCTTGTCTGATGTAATCTCGCCCTCCTTATTTTATATCCTTGAGCCAGTGAGCGTTCTGGGGCAGGAGCAATGTCTTCCTTTGTGTTTGTGTATTGTGGGTGTATTTATTTATAAATAAATTGTCATAGTTCCAGGAAGCATATGCATCATTTATATGTTACCTTCATACGCATCCGATTTTTAAATGGAGATGGCAACTTATCTTCCTTATTTGATTAATGAGAAAAGGCCTCTTTCACCACCCATGCAATAGTACAAATTCTCATTTGGAAAGCCAAATTTCTTCATGGATTCCCAACCAAACAACAAATGGCTTTCTGGAAATATTTTCCCAATTTAGTTCCTCAATTATTGTGTAAAATAAGGTCAGTAGAATATATAGAAATGTGTGCGGCTAGCATCTCTCTATAACAACTTTTGCCTCACCATTTATTTTTGAGAGAATAAAATTTGTAGTGATTAGACAGGGATGCATGCCTTTTTTCAAAAAAGGTAACTAAAATTTTATAGAATTATGAGTTTAGACTGTTACGAATATTGCGCAATTCAACATTTTCCTGAAATTTCTACACAATTCGGGGAATAAAAAGCTCTCATGCTATTACTGATTCTTCATGCATGAGTACCAATATGGAATATGGGTTGAAAAGGCTTTTCAGAAAATCTTTATGTCCCAAAGTAGCAGTCTCAATTTTACTGATGAAGTTCACAACTACAAGATAACAGAGCAAAGACTGAGCCTATGTAACCTAAATTTGACAACTCAGTTTTAGATTCTATAACTGCTTGTGGGCTAATCTATACCTTGCTCAGACGCATGCATTCTTATCAAGCTACATGTTTCTGGTTTTAAAAGGCTCCGCTTTACAGTTCAAATCCACTTTAACTTTGCATTTCTTCTACATATAGACAGCATTTAATTCATTGAGGGCTGCACTGAAAGTGACTTATGCATACTGAAGACCTCAGGGCAATTTGTGTGTAGAGAAGGGATTCACAATCTGGCCCTGAAGGAATATGGAATAATGATTCTGACACTTACAATTTTAAGATGAAAAGTAATAGGAAAACTAATGGACTGTAATTGGGAAAGCAGAGTATACTGAGTGGAGAATGCTATGTGTTTTACTAGTGTACATATGCAGTAATTCCATTAGTTACAATAGAATCATTCCAGATTTATATTGCTACTTAGAGGATTTGCCCACTGTTGCTCAAGTCCTTAACTGAAATAATTTTAAAAACAACAAGCAGTCCTATGGCACCTTAGAGACTAACAAATATAGAATATTATGAGCTTTTGTGGGTAAAACCCACGTCATCAGATGAACTAATTTTTCTTCATTTGATTCATTGCTCTCGGGAGGGGGGGGGTCAGTGTGCAGGCTGCCCTGGGGAGAGAGGATAACCCCAGCCCTCTGTCACCACAGCAGCTTGGGGCCAGGGAGAAGTGCCTGTTCATGGAAACTGCTGGGGGAGGGGTGCATATCTCCCAGCTGGGCAACACACAGACAGACAGACACACACACAAACTCTCTCAAATATATAATAGATACTATCCTTTTCTCCACCCCGTGCACTGCTGCCCCAATAGGATTATAACTGTCCCATTCCCCATCTCTGGCCCCTTGCTGTCCCCCTGTGGTCATTATACACTATAACTGTCCCTCTTAGCAGACCCCTCCCTTTCTGTTTTGTGGGAAACACTCACATTCCAGGCACATCCCATTGTCTTGGCACAACCAAACCCTGACCTTGCTTTAAGTTTTGATAAGAGGAAGCTGCCTACCAAATTTGGTGTTCCTAGCTCTTACTGTTTAGGAGGAGTTCTTGAACAAACAGACTCACAGATGGACAGAGAAACACAGACACACAAACTCTCTCAAATATATAGTAGATTGATGACATCAGAATCCATCCTTCATTTTTAGTAAATGGAACAATGCAAAGATCCATTAATTTTCATAAACACAACAGTTTCCAAGCAGCGTGTTCATCACCACAAAGTCTGCAATGGCAATGTCAAATGCAGAGTAACTTACTACCTTCTCAGAAGGTTCCTGTCCTTTCTTCTAGTCCACAACTTCAGAAATAAATTCAGATACTTGTATTCTAATGCAAATGCTCTCCATAGGCACATGTATACCACAGAGGGTCTATTTCAATTGTCTCTGCTTTGTATGTCTAAAAAGTCATTAACAATTAGGGAACCTGGATTATATGGCACATGAGTAAACTAAAGTGCTTGCATTTATTACTGATAAAAGAGATGGAACAGATCACACCGTGCAATGTTTATACTCATCAGCTTGTGGTAGTAGATGATGATAATGGAAATTGCATGGTTGAAAGCAGTAGAACTTGATGACAGTTGTTCATTAGCGGTTTTAGCTCATGGAGTTGTCTGGCTCTGTTGCAGCTTGGATTGTAATGTGGTCGTTGCTTAAAAACTGAAATAAAGCTTTCTGGACTAATTTGTCCTCCTTCAGACACCAGTGTGTCCTCATTGACACCAATGAGGATGTACAGGAAATAGTGAAGAGTATTTGACCCTTTGAGTTTTCTTGCTCAGTCTGTCTTGTGGGCAGTTGCCAGTTCTGATTTATTTTTCTCCCTAATCAGGAAGCGAGACACCCAGTTTCCCACAAGAGTGTGTCTCTATCCCTTCCAATGATTGATTCATGTCCATTTTCTGTGACTTTTCCCCACCCCAAGACCATATGTATCATCATAACAGTGGACTTGTTCTCCAGCAGCCTGGGGGTGGAGGTGGGCGATAGGGCTGAGGGGCTGTAGATCACTGAGTTCTGGTGCCACTTCCAGTTGTGAAGTGGGACACATTCACTAGACAGACAGCCTATGGATTTACAAACATCAACAAATTCCAAAGACCGATTAAAGTCAATTATTCATGTGCTGATGTGCTTCGCTAGCTCAGGGCCAATATTTGTAGCTTCGTCAACCAAATGTTTCCATAAATGTATCAATCCCAGAGTCATAGAAATCTGAGATGGGAAAATGTACAGGATCCATGCAGTCCATCCCCTCAGCTCCTGTCAGCATGTCCGCTAAGTCTCTATTTCCCAACCTGGTTTCAGAGTCATTATTGAATGAAATGTAGCAATAAATACAAAGCATTTTGTTAAATTGCCCATATGTATGAAGAAATGCAGATGGGGCATGTATAAACATGATGGATAAATAGATAGATGATCATTTGTTTGTTATACATCTGATTCATTAATACTCTCAAAAGCTAAGTATGTACAGTAGTTTTCTTTTGCTCTTTTCAAGACAGATCCAAACACCACTGATGTCAATGGGAATATTTCCATGGCTTTATTGGGTCTTGGCCCAAGACCCGAGTTCCCATTCCTCCTAGTTACAAGCCTTTGCATCACCCTAAACAATTTGTCTCTTTCCTTGAGGGTCACACTCTTCAGTCACTGGTGGAAGTTTATGGTAGCATTTGTTGCCACTGGGAGATCTGTGCACTCTGCATCCAAGACAGCAGATCAGCACTAGGGATTTTAATGTGTTGTATCAACTCACCAGTGAAGATACAAATTCACCTGAGGAGTATGGGACTGTGCACTGGGGATGAACTGAGGGAAAAGGAGATCATACTATTTATGAGGGGAATCTATTGGATACTCTATAGAAAGTTAGGTCCCCTCTTAATAGATAAAAAGATAAACAGATCCGAATGCAGCCTTCCTTCACTGCAGGAACAGTTTGTGTCCCCCTCTGCCCCATCTCCAATCCCCTATGTCCCTTCGGTTGGAATAGAATTCCTCTTCCCTTCCTGCCCTAAACTTTCTGTAATGTCAATAGTCACATGTTAAACAGCTGCTGTATTTGCACTCCAGAGATGGCTTCATTTCGGTGCTGGGCAAAGCAGTTCCTCTACACAATAAACATAATGTGTACGATCAGAAAGGATGTTGTATAAAGCACTTTGATAACCACATTAAAGAGAGCTATAAATCCCCCTTCATTGCCATTACCATAATCTGACCTAGTTTTCCTTCAAGATCCAATATAAACCTTCTACCTCACTGACAATCAATTATTCCTATTTATCCTCATTTTCCTGTTCCTGGAAAGCAAGGAATATCAGGCATGCAAGGCTAGGGTCCATGCATGCACATTTCTGTTGGAAATATTTGCAGTTCTTAAGTGTTTATTTATACTGATCTTTGTCATTTCCAGATCTGACTACCCACCCTATTAGTGTTACAGCAATCCGGAAATACCCTCTTCTCTTCAATGTCTCCATCCCTCACCATGAAGAAATCACCACGGCAGAGCTGAGACTCTACACACTAGTGGAGCGGGACAGAATACTCTATGATGGGATGGATAGGAAAGTCACCATTTTTGAAATCCTGGAGAACAACCATGCAAGGAGAGAAGGAGAGGAGAGAAAAATGGTGGCACTTGCATCCAGGCAGATCTACGGCACCAACAGTGAATGGGAGACCTTTGATATCACAGATGCCATGAGGCGGTGGCACAGATCAGAGTCGACCACCCACAGGCTAGAGGTGCAGATAGAGAGTGAAGAAGGGGAGGAGCCAAACAGAGAGGGGAAACTTGATATTGACATCAGTCCCGAGGCCAAACATGTGCCTCTGTTGATTGTGTTCTCAGATGACCTGAGCAATGACAAAAAAGAGGAGAAGCAAGAACTGGACGAAATGATAGACCATGAGCAGCTGCTGGATTTGGAGAACCTGGGTATGAGCAGCGTCCACAACGGGCCAGGTGAAGAAGCTCTGCTCCAGATGCGCTCCAACATCATTTATGACTCCACAGCCCGGATCCGAAGGAACGCCAAGGGCAACTACTGCAAAAGGACTCCTCTCTATATCGACTTCACAGAGATTGGCTGGGATTCCTGGATCATCGCCCCAAAGGGATATGAAGCCTACGAGTGCCGTGGAGTGTGTTCCTACCCATTAACTGAACACGTCACACCAACTAAACACGCCATTGTCCAGACTTTGGTTCATCTGAAGAATTCCCAGAAAGCTTCCAAAGCCTGCTGTGTGCCTACCAAGCTTGATCCCATCTCCATCCTCTATTTAGACGCAGGGGTGGTAACTTACAAGTTCAAATATGAGGGGATGGCAGTTGCAGAGTGTGGTTGCCGATAGTGGAAAGGAATGCATGCACCACGCGTGCGCTAAGGGAGTATTTAATAATTCAACCTGTAAATGTGTACATTTCGCATTTCCTATTTAATAAGGTTATTTAATGAGGTGTGTACAGACAATTATATGTTTCATGTGATAGGGAACAGGTAGATCATATGATTGTAAGGAATGTATATTTTATTTTGCACTTGCTTCTTGCTGTTTCGCTTCTTATCAGAGAGGCTTCCTTCATAAACAAAAGAAGGAAAACCAAATCATTGGGTTGTTAGGGGTTTTGGCCCCAAAATAGACAACCTTCATGCCATGGAATAACATTCATGGATTTTATTTCTTAAAAAATATGTTTAGGTGTTGCAGTCAAGGACATGGTTTGAAATGCACGCCCCACTGCAGGGGTTAAAACATGGACTGAATGAACATAATGATGTGATATGTTACATACTTAATATTATGAAGTGTTTTGATAGGTTTCCATCCCTCCATTCCCCCTACCACTCCATGTTAGCATTTTAGTCTCAGGAAAGATCCTGTGTATTTATGCCCTAACTTTTCATTACATTTCAATAGAAAACAATTCCTTGCTGGTGTGTTTGGAGTAAATTAAAACAGTTTTGAAGTTACTGTGTTCATATTAAAATTTGCAGTGAACCAAACTGTGAACCTGGTGAAACCCAACTTAGGTTGAAAAATTGTCTGAGATCAGGAGAGAAAATCTTCTGTAAAATTACCCAGTGAAAAACATCTGACATCCACAATGTCAGGCTGCGACTGTGCTCTGGCTCACTGCCCCCTTGGATACTCCACAAAGCAAGAAATGCTTCTACCATTTTGTTTATTATCAAATCCCTTGCATATAGTAGTGATGCTGACTTGAGATGTAAATCTCCACATTTGATGCATGTTGCATATCAATAGCAAGGACTTTAACTGGGAGAAATCTGCATAATAGCTCTGTTGAAATCCTCAAAGATTCAGCAATTTATTTCCACTAGGAGCCTGCCCCAATGTGTCTAATATGTTTAATAAAACTATATACTGCAACTGAAATGGCAAAGTAACACCATTCTTAATCCATGTAAAGCTAGGCAGAAAAGGAAATCCCTCCACCCCAGCTACCCAGGGAGGATCTTTCCTTTCTGTACGTGTTGAAGTTGTCAATTCATAAAGACGTTGCTCTTGCACACACACACACTTGAACTATATATGATGGAATCACATGCCATGTTTCCGCCACTCTTCTGCAACAAATCATGGTGATAAGAAGGTGTCAGAGCTGAGAAACAATAGGCCCGTCACTTTATTTATATTAAGCTGCAAATTTGTCAGATTCTTGGGAAAGTGTAAGTGACGTTGAATCTCCTAGCCACCGCCAGAGCCTACTGTACTGTCCTGCATCTGTCCTACACTTTTAAGGCAAAGTTATCTTCAGTGGAAATGATAAGAGACTTGTCTTTGAAAGAACTGACTCTGACACTTCATGGGAATGAACACAAAAGACTTTATCAAGCACCAACGGAAACCAGTTTCACCTCCATCCATGCAAACCCTTCTGTGCTTCCCATTATTTATTGATCTATTTATTGACTGTCTGCCTTTGTAATATAATGTAGAATACAAAATGTTTTATTTTTGTGCTCCTATGTATTCCACACCGATAAAACCTTGTACTGAACAATTTATATTCTGAGGCCTTCTGTTGAACATTGCTCCAAAGTGGTTTTTGCTTATAGATCTTTGTAAATATAATATATTGTTATTATCTTTCCTGCCTTCAGACTATCAACCACAGGGACTTAAGAAAGCACCTCGAAGAATGCAGTGTTGTCTGATAAAAATAAGCTCTTTTAAGGACATCCTTGCTTTAAATTCTCTGATTCCATAATGTATTGTAAAATAGTGCAGAGTAGGTAATGTGTTTCCAACTACAGAGCTTGATCAATGGCGCTATATTGAATTAGACTAGCTGAGAAGCTGGCCCTTCCAAGTGAGGGAATGACTGTCATTGATTCATGAATGACTTTGCAACTTCATAATCTTAACCTTGGATAAATGGCAGGTTAAAAAACATGTAATCAGTGTGAAATCTTAATCCACTAGCATGAATCATTTTAAGTGAGACCTCCCAACTGAAATTCCTTTTTTATGTCATGCTCAAACTATCTGCATTTCATGTGTAATTAATACAAAACATTCACCATGTCATTGTTATAACAATTATAGTTTGCAATTATCCATTATTTATTTTATCATCTTTTTTCTGCAACAGGCTTATGTATATTTGTACCCTTTTTTCTCTACTGGATAGCACCAAAAATGCTCAACTATATATCATACAACCTATACTATTTACAGCCAGTGAAGAATCTCCTTTTGCTTGAATTCCAGTGGTAGGAGATTGCAAAAGGACATGTGTTCCGTTCCCACACACTCACCATAAAACATATGAAATGTCCCAAACAGACATAGATTTGTTACATTACTGCAAAAAGGCTAAGAATAGCCCTCATTGCTTATGCTATACATGCAGGATAAGGTCCATAGTGTGAGACAAAAAAAAGTAGAACATAGGGTTCAATTTTGCAAACATTAATGCACAGGAGTAATTTGATCTTTGAGCAAAGTTCCATGTATAAGCATTTACAGGATCAATACATAGGAACCAAGCCAAATTAGCACAATGGTTCATGAAGTCTAATTAATTAATCTTTTTACTGCAGTACACCAAACCATTAAGGTACCAGTAGAGTGCCAAGCTACCCATGATCCAGATGCAAATTTTGAAAGCTCTTTGGCCGGTAGACTTTGTAGACACTAGCCCTGGCTAGTAGTTGTCTCTGATTGCAGCCAGTATCTAAGTGTCAGAGGAATGTGCAAGAAACCCCCTAATGGCAAATAGTAAGAAAATAAAAAACACCTTATTATGATGTTCTTTGGGAAAACATTGTTAAACCACAATTTTAATCTCTCATAAAGAATGCATTTGTGCATGCTCTATATTGTTCAGACCCTTAGATTTAAACTAATCAGATTATTCCAGCGCATTGTAAGTTTTCTATTTTAAAAAAGGACATTTGCTTTAATGGAATGGCTTCAACCCAGTGCAAAAGATAACTGGGTAACTGCAATTTGGTGGCTTTTCCATGGATTCAGACTACAATATTGTTTATATTATCAACATGCACGATGGAGTGGGAGCATGTGGTCTAATTTATGTTAAAATAAAATAAGAGTTTTTCTTTGTGCCATTTTAAAATTAATAAACTAAGCCTGATCCTGCAAACATATATATGTTTAACGTAAAATGTACAGTGTCCCACTAAATTCATGCTCTCTATTGAACCATTTAGCAATGACTTTGGAGGTTCGGGGCCTTGGTTGCTAAAAACAATACAATATAAAACATCATGTTTCACATTCTGTTAACAGTAAATCAATGATATATCTCTGGAAGCATTTTCTAGGACTGGCTGAATTATATTAATGAAAAAAAATAATTTATTATTTCTGTTTTACTTCTTTTACACACTCATTTTTCACTTAATTAGTAGCCTAAATTGATTTTCTTTCCTCTCCTGACCTGCTTGATGCCAATGTTAATGGATTTTTTACTCTTATTTTTTTAAAAGCCAAATAAAAAAGAAAACAAAGGAAATAGCTTCAGTTTTGGAGGGGGTCTTTTAATAAATTTTGCAAAATATATCTAAAATGTAGCACATAACAAAAATATATTTTGTTTGTAAACTGCCTATCACAAAAACCCTTGCTTGCATAAACCATGAAATTTAATGGGATTCTACTTCTGTCTGTTTATTATTTATATAAGATTAGCATGTGCAGTCTGGTCTACACTTAAAATTTAAATTGCGATAGCTACTGCTCTCATTAGTGGGAATAATTCACACCTCTGAGCACCATAGCTAGGTGGTGCTAATCTAATCTCTGGTATAGATGCAGCAAGGTTAACATCACTAGGGTATGTCTAGACTGCAGAGATTTTCCAGGATACCAGAGTATCCCAGAAAAGCTCTGCCACGTCCAAGGAATGCATCTGTTTTTCAAAAAAAAAAATTGGGAAAGATGCTTTTTTCGGCATCCCTGTAAACCTCATTCTACAAGGAAGAAGGGTTGTTCCAAAAGAGACTTTTTTCCAACATTTGTCACAGTGTAGACGGGCCAATTGTCAGAAAAGCCTCTTTTGGAAGAAAAGCGGAAAAAGATACACAAATTGTAATTCTCAATATGCATATCTTTTTCCAGTAGAACTTCGTAGTCTAAACACAGCCCAGATTCCATCACTCAGGGAAGTAGTGTTCCTACGGCAACAGAAACTTCCCTTCCATTCTATCATTCCAGGACAATGGTGGGCAATCTGAGGCCCATAAACTGTGTGAGGTCCATTGGGGTTTTATGAGTGTCCTGTGACACATTTTGTTTACTGTTGCCTACACACAAGGTTGCCAGATTCCCCTGGTTTCCAGCTGGTAGTTTATTTCCTACCAGTATTACTAAAGAGACACACACACAAAGTAGGAGAACACGCATAAAGTGAGGTACGGGCTGATTGCATATGACACTGACTATGAGAGACGTGAGTGTCCAATCAAAGTGCTGCTACAGATCAATCAGCACACCTGCAAATTCTAGGTACTCGTGTGCAGTTAGCAAAACTAGCCTACCCAAAAGCCATCTTGGTTACGACAATATTTCAGCCCACTGAGATGAAGGAGGCCACTCATGCAGCCCACTCACTGGCCTAAGTTGCCCAGCACTAGAGCCCTCCAAATCTGTGAATATCTGCTTTATATCCTCAGGCATCTGCAACCACAGATATGCATGCGGATATGCACAGCTCATTTTTGCGGCTATGGATGCAGATGCAAATTTTATATCAAGAATCCTGCAAATCCATGGATATCCACTTTATATCAACAGGTATCTGAATCCATGGATGTCAATGCAGATATCCTTGGCTCATTATTGTGGATACAGAGGCAGATGTTCATACAAATTTTGTATCTGTACAGGGCTCTACCCATCACTGCTCTAAGATGCACTTACCCTACAACAGTGGTCTCCAATTCGTTAGAGTATTTTTTGTTTGACTTGAATCCTACACATCTTTTCCAAAAGGCAGTAGTAGGAACATTGCAGTCACAAGCAGAAAATTAAAGTTCTCGGCTAGTGTGAAATGTTGGCCAAGAATTAGGTTCGTTACATAGCATACACTAACACTAGGTGAAAATCTTAGTTATTCTATTTGTGGTCTAGATTGGACCAAATATCAGAAAAACCACTTCTTTTGGAAGCCTTCTTATTCCTCATGGAAAGAGGAATACAGGGGTTACCGAAAGAGCATGTTTGCGCTTCCACTAAAAAAAGCAGAACAAACACATCCCTGGGTGCAGAAGAGTTTTTCTGGGATATCTCTAGAATCCTGAAAAACTCCTGCAGTCTAGCTGTACCCTCGCTGGGTTGAGACAGGATGTGTAGGCTCTGGGGTGGGAATGAGGGATCTGGGTGTGGGAAGGGGCGAGAGGTGCAAAAGAGCGTCTAGATTGGCACAGACACTTTTCCGCAAAAGCACTTTTTGCGGAAAAGCGTCCGTGCCAATCTAGACGCGGTTTTGCGCAAGAAAGCCCCGATCGCCATTTTCACGATAGGGGCTTTTTGCGCAAATCAATACCACGTTGTCTACACTGGCCCTCTTGCGCAAAAGCATTTGCGCAAGAGGGCTTTTGCCCAAATGGGAGCAGCATAGCCTTTCCGCAAGAAGCACTGATTTCAGACAGTAGGAAGTCAGTGTTCTTGCGGAAATTCAAGCGGCCAGTGTAGACAGCTGGCAAGTTTTTCCACAAAAGCAGCTGCTTTTGCGGAAAACCTTGCCAGTCTAGACGCAGCCCTGCAGTCTAGCTGTACCCTCGCTGGGTTGAGACAGGATTTGTAGGCTCTGGGGTGGGAATGAGGGATTTGGGTGTGGGAAGGGGTGAGAGGTGGAAGCTCTGGGAGGAAATCTGGATGCAGGAGGAGGTGGATAAGGGAATGCTGGCTCAGGGAGGGGGCCCCAGGCCGGGCAGTGTTGGGGTTGGAAGTAGGGTTGGGGTACTAAGCAAGCCACAGACTTCTGGATGTGAGGGTTCAGGAATTTGGGTTGGGGTATGTGACAGGCTCAGGGCAGGGGGGTCCAGTGTATGATAGGCTCAGAGGTACAGTCTGGGGAAAAGGAGAGCGCAGGAGTGTTATGATGCTGTGGCCAGATGGGGGCTTGGCCCCAATTGGGGGTTTGTTGGCCAGGCTTCATTTTCAAATAAAATACTGTCTCAAACACAAAAAATGTCTGCATTGCCTTTATTTCTGAGAAGGGCAGGGAACCTGTTTTGAGTCAGGGGTCACTGACCCACAGAAAAGTCAGTTGGGGCCACACAAGAGAGATGCAAAAAAAACCCTTCTCCAACTCCCCTCCCCCTCTCCCCCAAGCTCCACTAATGTGGCTCCAACTGTGTTGGTGGGAGCAGGGGACATAGTACTGGGGAAGGGTGCTAGTGGGTGCTTCGGCAGGGGACAGGGTGCCAGTGGGGACAGAGTTCTGCGGCTGGGGAGTGGGGAGAGGGGGCA